AAAAACATAGCTACTTCATGTAGAATAGACTGACTTACTATTTCATTTCCCATGGATTGCAATCCAGATTTAAACAATTAATTGCACATTTAACAGCAACACAGAATATGCATTTGTATTCATTTGCTTTTGTTTCTAAGATAGCTATTTATTCCCATCCCCCACATCAATAGCAGATGGGGAGCTATCCTTAATAAAGGACAGTCAGAAACATACTATGTGTCAATATTAGAACCCTTTTCTAAAAGTAAATATTCTGAGACTAACACTAACTAAAAGCATTTTCCTTTAAGACAGTTCTGTTTCTTCCTATTTTATTCTTCAAGGTTTTTTCCCCTCTAATTTAGAAATATTTAGAGATAATTCTGAATATTGAAATTTTGATATACCCGAAATAGATATATGTTTGATTTTTATCATATACTTATAAATAGGGCAGAGTTTCCATGCAACCTATTGCATGGTTACAGGAATTAACTGCAGAAGTTGCCACTAAAGAACTGTTTTACAAGGATGATTTTTACTGGCATTTTTCAAAATTTACAGCATCAGTATAAACACCTATTTTCTAGAACCATTTTTAACAACTCCCTAAAGCTTGTACACAATAAAGCATGGTAATTCTGAAGTATTCTAAATATAAAAGTTAGTAAAAAGATCACTATGTACCCTTCTGCTGATCAAATGAAACTCAAGAACAGTTTGAGGAACTGGTCTAAACCCTATAAGCAAAATACAAGATGAAGTTCTGCTTAAAGACTTTCCAGTTAGAATTAAGAATGTTTAATACAGATCCATTAATATAGAAGTATGTTATTTAGAACACTGGTCCGTGTGCAGTAGTGTTTTGTCTTCAACTATACTGGGAAAGCCCACAAGCCTGGTCACTGTTTACACATTTTCCTCAAACTTCCCTAAAATTGGCAACTGTTATGTTATGGTGGCTAAACCTCTGCCTATTCCATTTAATAATCATCATGGACTTCTTGTCCATGAATTTGCATTTTTGAACCTGCTAATACTATCTGCCTCTCATGTATTAACAAACTGTTCACTTCTCACTGTGTTATTACTTTTGTGTGACTTAAACCAAAGTTTCAGTGTGTGCTCTCCAGTTCTGGTAGCATACAATTTAGTGAATAACAGCTCCACAATCACTTTATCCACTGCCTTGATGACTTTGCTGTAAACGTTGATCATTTCCAACTCCCACTACCTATTTTATTCTTTGCTTTTAAAGCAGATGCTTCAATCCTTTACCTGTTTTTCTGCTTACTTTCTCTAGCTCTACTATGTTCTTCTTGTGAGACACCAAAACTGCATACAATACTCAAAATGTGATCGGTACCAAGGTCTCACACAATGACAAAAGCAGACTTCCTGTTCATACTCAATATCTTTCCTGGTAATGGACAATGTGTTGTTAGGATCTGTTGGCAGCTGCCATTAACCAACAGCTTCAGCAAACCATCAGTGACAACTCCAAGAACTCCTAATCAAAAGGTCACTTCTTTGCTGAAACAAAACCTGCATGGAAACAGTACATAAACTAATTTCTGATCATTCTGAAGTCACTCGGCACATACAAAACATGTAAACTATAAAAGTAACAGGCATATGAAAGCCTGTAAATTTAGGAAATGGACAAAACTGTTACCAACAACAAACTCAGTATTTAACAATTACTTCCAGTTTCCATTCTAACCTACACTCATCTGGGCTAAAAATGCCAATGTTGATACAAGAAGCTAAATATTTCTGTAAATATTATTCGTGTTTCATCTAAAGGCTAAAGTACAGTAGGAAAGTTTATGCACATAGCTTCCTAATAAGGACAGTGAGGGAGGATGTTAAAAGTTGCAAATTCAGTTTGTAAGGAGAAGGATAAGGAAAAACAGGAGGTCTTCCTAGAGAAGTATTACAGTAACTGAATTGCAGAAGAAGCACCTTAAGTCCCTGATTTGAGAGAGGTAAGAAAAAAGGACTCAAGTTTGTGTCTCCTGTATCACAATTGAACTATCCTTGAAAATTCTGGAGTAAAAGTCTAAGAAAAGCTTAGATAACGTTATTGACAGCACAGCAGTTTTTCCTCTTACGTATCTGAATAAAGCTGGTCAAGCTGGAACAGCTTCCCATTCAACAGTACTAAATAACTCCAATCAAAATCACTGGATTAAATAATAAATAAATCAGAGCGGTAAGTAAATAAAAGCAAGTTTTCTTTATTCTTATTAACAGGTCAATTATTACCTGGCTTTTTGTGTACATCTCATTTCTTTGCAACTGAAAAAAGGAGTACTCAAGCCTCTCAATTTAAGATATCAGCAAATCAATTAATTAGAGAGATGATACACAGAGAAGTTCCAATAGCTTAAAAAACAGAGAGACCCATATATCCAAACTGATTACTTTTTTTTTCCCCTTGCATTACATGCAAAAGAATAGGCCTTATTGAAGATGCTCTTATTTTGATTTGTGGACTTTTCTCTTCTATCCCCTATGGGACTTGCAGCTTTAATAACATTTAATGACAAAGACAAATACAACTCACACAACAGCAGTAAACTTTAAAGGTCCTCTCTTTAAAGAATACATTTTGTGTCTCAACCGATAGTTGACACACAAAGTTAAGCGATGGTACTATGGCCAAAGAAGGCTGACTAAGCATTTTAAAGCAAGTAAACATAATATGTGGCCCGACAGGCAATTTTCTGGATCTCTCAATGGTGAGATGTATGACGCACAGGTCTAGAAGCAGGTACTTCCCAACAGGTCAAGTTTTCTGACTATTAGGCAAATAAACAAAAAACATTGTAGCTGACCAGTAGGCTCAACTGTTCAGAGGTAGAACGTAGCAGATGACCAAACTAGCATTACCTAGTGACATTGGGAAGTCAAAGAAAGGGAAGGTAGCACGCATTGAGATAAGCGAGAAAGGAGATACTGACAGAACATAGTGACACACTGGTCATCAGCTGTGACCCACTGCTGCAGGACTTTAGTGGCCTCCTCATTCATCTGAATTATGTTCCAAATTCTAGAACGAGAGTGCCTATTTTTTTTTAAAGTAAACAACTTATACTATGTTTGTTTCCTCCTCATCATTTATTCTATGCATTTGTTGCTAATCAAGTTTGTGACCTCTGCTCCGGAGTTTTAAGTCTCACTCCTTCAGTATATTCTTTCAGAACACCTGAAGCAATGTTTCCCTTAAATTTCAAAATGTGATAGTTGATTCAAAATACTAGAATCAAATGGATAATTATCCTCAGTTTCACTTAGCTATTTTACTCCAATTGTCTCATGCTTTTTTCAAAGGCATCACTCACTTTTCAGAGCTGACAAGGGTTAATTAACTATGCTGACCATTACCAAGCCATACTCGAATATTAACTTGTACCTAACCCTACAAACAAATTCTTATTTCCTGCAGTAGCAAGATAAATGCCATTGTAAATATCCTCCTGTCAACAATTTTTCCTCAAAGATGATCTACATAACCTTTTCAAGTTAATCAGGGAAAAGTAAAAGCATGTACACATAGCTTACTGTTGAACAGTTTTACCAAGGACATGATTCTGATCTGTATTACAACAATAATCCACCTGTCAACATTAACAGGATTGCTGTCAAAAGGTAAAATACTATTTGAAACTGAAGTAGACAAACTTATCTTTGTCAATATGTTAAGTTACAATACAATAGTTAGAGACTAAGATTTTTGTCCTGTTTTTACTGAAAATACATGTTTCACAAGAACGATGGTGACAAACCTCTGCCAAGAATCCTGAACAGCAACTGAAGAATAGGATTACAAACAGAAATATAATAGAATTAGTAATACCCAGGATATTGATCATGTTTTGTTGCATCTTCAGCATTCAAAGTCTGGAGGTGTTCTTTACCTAAATCATTCTGTTCACTCTAAATGTAGATGAGCTGGGGTGTTTGGGAATGACCCAGTATCTAATACTTAGGGTATAGAATGATTGAAAAGTAAGTTAGACTGTATCAGTTTTAGGCTACTTCTAGCCTCTGACACTGGAAACAATGTTTAAGTGGAATAAACAGTTAAATGTTAAAATGGATATATATTTTCCACTTTCATCCTAAGTTGCAAAGCCATAAGGCATCCACATCCTGAAACTTGCTCCAAGTCCACGCAATGCAAGACTTCAGCATGAAACAGAAGTTATCAGTAATTTTCGTTAAAAACACAGCTGGCAAAGGAGGTGCCCATTTTACTAAAATAGGCCAGCGTTACAGTACTTGTCCATGAAGTGGGAGACTCGAAGCCTTAGGCAGCTCAAACCCACATTTTTGGCTGTACAATAGCTCAGTTTTAGTAGGAGGAGTTGCCAGTGCCCCTCCAACCTAATTAAGCTGCCAAGTTTTTTATTCTTTCTTTGCCCATAATCTCTTAGGATTGACTTTCTTCTCCATTTGAGAATGGCTTGCCTAATATGTGCATATTGGTATATGGTCCATTTGTTCCTTCTCCTGTCCAAAGCAGCCTAAGCATCTTAAGTCTAGAGGCAGGTTTTAGGCTATGAAACTGAACACAGCAATCACACCTAGGATTGTGAACTCCATTCAGGTCCCAGAAGGTTAGGTATCATGACAGTACTAGCTGCCACATGTTCATTCTTTTGTGTCTTTAGGAAGAGTGTTTCAAAAATAGGCTAATGTTAGGCATTTGTCCTACGTGCTTCAATTTCCCCATCTGGAAGACTGTTACCAACATTTTGTATTAACACAGTGCTTCTTAAGCACAGGATTTCTGAGACTATTCTATTGTGGTTTCTACCTCATTTTTCAGATATAAACACGCTCTAACAGTGCTCAGAGCCTCTTTCTTTAAGCAGCATGATAGGAAGAGATCTAGGTTGGCCACATCACACACATCTGCTAAAAACTCTGTTATTCAAAAACATTTTATTCTTGTTATTGAACATCCCACCCCCCCACACACACCTTTTTAATAGGATAGCAAGACTTACTAAAAGTGGCATATGTGTGTATGACCCAATCTGAAGCTGTTCTTTTCCATTATATGACTTATTGTCACTACTCAGAGCAGGTACACCTTTCTTTTGCATTTGTGCATCTTTGAGGAGCCTAAAAATTCAAGAATACAATTTCACAAGATGGGCTCATTAGAATACAGTTAGAACAACATTAGAATACGATGGTCAGAAATTATTGGAAGGGAAGAGGAAGAAGAATCAGAAGAGTCAGGACTTGTTACAAATAAGGTTTGGAAAGCCAGCTTCATCAAATCATTCAGCAGATAGTCACATCTACAAAAGGTGATACCCATATACCTTGTTACTACTACAGCATTTTTAATCTGTAGGAGATAAAGAAGAATGATTCTTTTATAGATACAATATTCCTCTACCTCCTCCATTCACGTTGAGACTCCTATCTACATTTTTTTCAAAGCCTGCTCTGAAGGTTAGGTAACGTTTTCTTCCCTAAATACAGGCACCTAAGCACATTTCTTTGAAGTGAACTTGAGTTTTAAATTTGAACATCTATTTTTCCTTTTGTGCTTATATGGGTAATACCTGAAAAAATAATTACAAGTTACTTGCATGCCATAATAATCTAATAGTAAGACTTTACTTATGTCTAAATTACTCCTTACTACAAGAACCCAGTCTCTTTGAGAGACTGATCAATGAAGGTCAACACTTCTCAATGCTTTTCTGCTAGTTTAGTGACTGTACCACCTCACTGAGGAATGAGACAAGAAGCAAAGTTCTGTTTATTCTACTGTGACTTTTAACAGTAACAAGTTCTTGTAGGAAAAGGAAAATGAACAATGGGAGCATGTGATGTCTAGAAAAGTTCTTATGAATGTTCAGAGAAACACCTTTAAGAGCGGAGCAACCCACGTACATTTTACTGGCTTTTACTGCTCATTTTATTTTGTTTAGCACAGTGAAATTGGTGTCCAATATAACTGATCCAATACTGGCTGATTAAAACAAACAAAAACAGTGCGGTCTCTTCATCCCCCCTCCCAAAATCCACATACACTCCAAAGATAGGAAACTGCCCCTTTCCCAAAAAAAAACAAAACAGTAAGCAATGGCAACTGCTATTACTCCCGTTCCATAAGAGAAACAGCGCTTCCTCTTGTGAAGCAGATCCTTAGGTAGGTGCTAAATTTGTGGCCCATAGAGAGAGATCCAAAAACTAGATGGTCGCAACAACACACAAAGTTAGATCACCCTGCTTTAGATTTGCAAAAGGGAAGAGAGAGTAAAGATTGTACCTAGCTGGTACCTCATCTCCTTGACCTGTCAGGAACACACAGAGAAATTAGAGTTTATTCCCTTCTTCCACATGAAACATAAAAGTGTTTAAAAACCTACCTAAAAAGTGAAAAAGGCTCACAGCAAGACTACTGCAGTTATACAAATATATGATAACATTTATAATAACTTTTCATCTTCATTGGTGGGGGATTTTTTTTTAAGGAAAAGATAGGAGAAAAATGTTTACAAAAATATTAAACTCTTCTTTAAAAAAAACACTTTGTAGTCCATTTAAAATGGGTTAATAGAATTTGCTATTGGTAAAAATAGGATGAGAAATGAGTAAATTACAAATTTATAATGTTTACTATTAAATTCTAAAAATAATTAAGATGCAAGCACAGCCCATTGTTTGAAAGTTCAACTTACCTCATTTCAGAGGACCCTTATAAGCCCTTCTAAACTATTAAAAGCCTAACGTGCAAAACGCTATTGCATTAAAAACAAAAATCTTTATCTTCAATGGCTAAGCATTTTGTATCACTAAATGTGTCAGTTTAACTGTCATAAGCACAGTCAAGCAGAAGTAACGCTTATCACTTAACATATCTTTACTCAGTATTCTTCTGTACTATAAACATAGAAGTCTCCTAAAAGCAACAGTTAACCTTCCAGTTATGACTTCACAACCAGACATATTGAAAGCAACGGAATTTCCCTAACATAAGCTTGATCTGTTCAGTAACATCAATTTAATAAGAGTTCTCCAAAGAAGACAAATTCTATGTGATATTCTAGATATAGGCTATGACTCCTATATGAAAGATGCAAAATATATAATATTTGGGTAACATTTTTATTTATCTGCCAATCACTATTAGGATCAGTCCCATAAAAAGAAACAAAGGAGGAAGAAATTTTTCTTCTGTGCACATTTCCTGTGTAAGCTGACTTTCATGTATGTTTGAGACATACAAAGACAACTTGACTTTGACTCAGGTTAACCAGATGAGCATAAGAAGTCAGTGATAATGGAGTCAAGAAATACAGACTACTAAGTGTTCATTGTAACTGTACAACTCTTGACAACATGTAGCATGACATAGGTGAAGTGTTTATAGTACCAGTTTCCATCACTTAATCCTGTGTCTAAACAACATACACAATTTGACACACAATATTCATGCACCTTACAAAAGGAAAAAAAAATCACCATAAATAGCAAGCTGGAGTCTTAAGAGTTCTGCATCACTTATTACTTAGAGACCAAAGCAGCATTTCCAATACCCCACTCAACTCCAGGTGCTACAGTAGTATGATGAGTTCAGTGACAGCTTAAGTGACATCTGTGTGAACAACTGCCCTTTGGCTTCATCCATCCCGGTTTACTACTTACCTACTTTACCCCTTAACACTTAAATCACTCTCTAGTGAAAGCCAATCAACCACATAGTAAGATTATTTAAAAAATATATTAATTAAAGGCCTAGACAGGGAAGGGAGTTGACTATAATTCTTAAGCAAGTCAGCATTTACGTCCTGTGGCTTTCAAGCGGATGAGCATGCCTATATCATTCATAGGCTTGTGAAAAAGTGCCTCATGACTGGCTTGGAAAATTATATTTCACAGAAAAAGGCAATCCAAAGCTCTAATATTCAGTTGTTCACCCATTTTTACCTACTGCAGAAAACCGCTGCATTTTTTCAGTACAAATTCATAAAGCATCATTCAAACCACCTTTTCTGTGAACAAGCTTGGACTAGAAGCAGACATTTCAGGTAAAAAAGCAGTAATGCACAATTTAGGGACAGATGACAAAGAGCTAGAAAGTAAAAGGAAACAGAAAAATTATCATTGAATAATTTATTATTATATTTTACTAAGTTGACGCCTCAGTACTCCAGGCCAACAAGAGCAGAACAGAAAAAAAAAACAAACAAACCCACACACAGGAAAGGACATATTTACCAATAGGATTGCAGTATGCAAGTGAGTTAGGAAAGAAAAAGGAAGGAAAGCAAGATGACAAAGACTGGCTAATTCATTTCTGATGTCATACCCCTGCACAGAAGCATGACAAATTCTTACCCATCAATTAGTTGTCTTTTTTGTCCTATGAAGCGAGGACAGAAAAGGAGGGGCAGAAAACAGTACAAATCTCACATGCCTGCGGCAGATAAAGTTACGTAATGCTGATTTACTGCCTGCTCTTAGTTTACACACTTATTGTACTGCAGTTTCAAGTAGTAGCTTTTTAACAGTTGCATCATTTGATTATTGTTAAACTTAAAAAACAAAAACAAATAAACAGAAAACCCTCATAGGTGTAAAAGAAAGAACAGAACAAAGTTTTAATAGTTTTTCTGACAGAGGAAAAAAGACAAGAGAAATCAAGGGTTAACTGCATGCTCAGACATTTTCTGTTCCTTAACAAGTCATAACATTGTGTTGGCTAGTTGTGTTAAAGCTTAAAATTAAAGTGCCTGCCATTCTCAAAGTCTTTTAGTTTAACTCACTTAAAGAAATGACAAACAATAAAGGCAGCAGTGAGTAGCTTCTTGCACTTCACTAAAGCGCTACTAATACAATCAGTTCATAGCAGTGACAGTAAAGTCAATAAATCTTTTTATTATTGTTTAGAAGGAAACTTGCCCTGAATAGAGCAAGAAAATGCAAATCAGAAGCAAAGAATGGGTGGAACGGGGCGGGGGGGAAGTTTTTGCTATTATTTGTTAAAAAATAAAAAGAAAGGAAAAGAAAGGAAAATACAAACTGTAAACAGCACACTGGTCAGATTTCATGAGTTCAGCAATAGGGTGGGAGGCTCGCAAAACTACTGCCATGTTAGCCACATATTTCTCCTCTGTATTTTGCCCCTAGAAGTTAGGGCATGACAACAAAATGGGCATTTTCAAAAGCTGAAATAATCTATTGCTTTCTATCAGAGTCATTCTGTAAGCAAAGATATCATAACTTTAAAGATTATAAGCTTTAAGAATCAGGTGCTAATTAAGTGTATCTGCAATTGTCTTGTTCTTCCATCCTCTGACCCAGCAGAGTAAGCAAATAACATTTTGAAAGTCTCAGTGTCAAGTAGGCAGATGTATGTATAGTAAAAGAAAAACAATACGGTCCTTCCTAAAAGGTAGTAATCAGTAAGATCTTATTTTGAACTCGGTGGTGCATCAAAGATTAAAACAGCACTTTTGTCGTTCTATTGAATTTGTAGTCAGTTATTTAATGTGCTGTAATTGCACAGGCTTCAGGGAACACTTCTGTAACAAAACTCAGTTACATAAATTGGCCACAAAGTTTAATATACATGGGAAATTGATTGGGCCAACTCTTACTATATTACATCAATATCGTTCCTTTTAGAACACTGCAACAAAAAGCATTTATTCAAAGCTGGGCACCAGCACCATAGTTGGAAGTTTTAAATCAAATATAACAAAAAAAAAAATTACAGAGGCAAATTATCTCTTCATTCCATCTTACCATGCTTTTTTCTACTCCTCTGAGTAACGGAAGCAAAATTTCCATTATATTTATCAGACCTCTAACAGCATACACTTTTAAGGCCTTTTAAAACATAACTTGGTTACTTCAGACCTCAGAGGGAATATAGCATTTGAAGGCTCCTCAGAAAATGCTCTGCCAGCATTTTCATTCACCTTTGTAAAGAAGAGCCAATGACTTTTGGACTTCTGCTAATTCTAAATTATGGTAATGTGGCACAGGAAGAGAAATATGTTAGAAGGCTGCTAACTAACCCATACAGTGCATTGGGACCTGCTAGTGT